CTGTAGCTCTGCTGTACAGGGAATGTGACACCAGGTCACATTCAGGTACTTAATTTATCTGCATAAAAAAAAAAAAAAAAAAACATTATGATTTATTAAATGACAGAGCTGCTTTAATTTGTGTCTTATAGGTCTGCCTAGGTGACAGGTTTTCTTTATGGAGACATCACGGGTCTATCAGACTCCTGATGTCTCCCCTGCCCTCCAATACAGATGGTAAAAACACAAGATTTTGCATCATCGTCTCTTTACTTGGCACCTCAGCCTGATTTTCACAGCACTGAAGCAGGAAGTGCCGAGAGCACATCGCTCCCTTCTTCATTCAGCACAGAGCAGAATGGGGAACAAGTGTTCCTCGATCTGTTCTCGCTTTCCACTCCGACACTGTTTACCATGGTACCAGGATCCCCACAGGAGTGGGGGACCTGAAAATGATGACTGGGGGTGGGGGCACAATAGCATGCAGGTATGAGTGATTTAGGTGGCCGCACAGTCACCTAGATCAGTGGTTCTCAACTCATGGGTCGCGACCCAAAAGTGGGTCGCGAGCCCTTCTGCAGTGGGTCGCGGCGCCATCACGGCAATCACGGGTTGCCATCACGGCAGCATCACGGGTCGCCATCACGGCAGCATCACGGGTTGCGGCGCAATCACGGCAGGCTTGTATTAATGGATAGAAAGCCTGCCGTGATTGGCTCAGCGCTGTGTAGTGCTGACTTTTCTACTTGCAACAGAGTCCCAGCTAATGCCCCCTACATACCCCCCCTTCTGCAATGACAGGAGACATTATGACAGGGGACGCTGATGAACATTATGTATTCCAAGCCCACACAATGCCCACCAGTGTCCCCTGTCATATTGTCTCCCGTCAGTGCAGAAGCTGGGGGGGGGGTCTGTTGGAGGGGGCTTTAGAAGGGCTGTGCTGCAAGTTTTCTACTTGCAGCGCAGCCCCTGCTAATGCCTCCCCAGCTTCTGCACTGACAGGAGACATTGTGACAGGGGACACTGATTGACATTTTACACCACCACGGTTTTTGAGGTCCCCTGCTCTTTTGGGGGACCTGAGAACATGGCAATATGGATGGAGCTCTGTCACAGCACTGCAGCCCCCACTGGACCTCAGACTGAGGATCCACCACAGTTCTCGATATGATAGGGAGACTGGGTGGATCTTAAAAAAAGGAAATCAAATGTATTTTATTGTGAAGTGTGTATGTGAGTGTGAGAGATTGTGTCTGTGGTTGTGTGTGTCTGACAGTATTTTTGAGGGTCCGTTCACACTAGTACAGAGCGTTAATTGCACAGTCCATTGCGATTACTGCATTGTACCACGCAAAAATCACACCTACCGCAAATTCTGGTGTGGGAGTTGTGTTGCATTGCCATTCATTTGAACGGCACCCCAAACGCATCTCCTGTACACAGTTTGATTGCCCGCATCGGAACGTGCGGTACCTCAATGCCGTGCGTTCCAATGCGGTGCGACTTGGGTCGCGACTTCATGACCAAGGACAAATGTGGGTCCTGAGGTTACACAGGTTGAGAACCACTGACCTAGATCACTTGTAGCAGCCGGCCCTGCTTGACGTCATTGGTTGTTGAGACGCCTGCAGCCCTAGCAACCAATGATTGAAGGGGGCTGTGCTGGGTTATGGCTGGAAGTGGATGCATCGGCCTCGGAGGCCGGTGTATCCACCGTCAGCCAGCCACAACCCAGTGCAGGTCGGCAACTGGGGTCCGGACAGATCTCACCATTTAGTGAAGCCCTTTTCTATAGCATTACCCCTCACTTAATAGCCTAGCAGCTGCATAAAAAGGTTATATAGGGAGGTGAGAGGAGGGGTGGAGGAGCCGGGTCAGCACAGACAGTAATTAGATACTGTCAGAAGAGGAGAGGGCTATGATATCAGGTGGGTGGGAAGCCGACTTTTGCTGGAGTAGTCATATTTTTTAGCACGCTCAGAGCACATTGCAAGTGATTAAAAAAAAACAATTTTACAGAAAAAATGCTGCAAGTACACATTTGAAATACTTGATGTTTCTGTGGCTTTACCTGCAGTTTTCTGAGCTGGTGGCAGCGTCTCTAACTGACATTCTACAAGATAATTATATGGAGCGCAGGAAACGGAGCCATTCAATGCCATGTGTGCAAATGTGTGTTAGATTATGTGCAGAGCCGTGGCTCGCTCCTTTTGCACCCAAGGCAAGAACAGAAAATTGTGCCCCCCAACAGACGTGTGCGGTATATGATGTCATGCGCGCCGCCTCCAGGATGGCGGAGCACATGCGCAGAATGCACTGGAGGCCAATTTCAAAATAGCATAAAAATGGGTTTCAATTGACGAAACTAAAGAAAACATGTTTAGTATCCGTTCATTTTGGCCGAAACTAATTTTTAGCCTTTGCGCGTGTGGTTTATTTTTTTCACTGTTGGGGGGGGGGGGCTTCGGTGAAATATCAGGGGTCTTAATAGACCCCTGACATTTCCCTTTTGAAATAGAAAAAGAGATTGAGGACACAAAGTCCTCTGTCCATACAGGTGGGGAAGAGCAGCGGGGATCCAAAGAGAAGCTGGAGCCTGTGCCGCTTCTCTTTTCCCTGCCGAGCCGCGGCTGTGTTGGCCGCCTGGCGCCCTTGTAGCCAATGGTGCCCTGTGCTCGCCATGGCAACAGCTGCGCCTGAGGCTAGTGCCACACTCGCCCCATGGTAGCTACAGCCCTGATTATGTGCAAAGAAATGACATGTTTGGCTGCGAAATATTTACATTTGTGTAATAAAATGTTTTGATGAGAATTATCATTCTATGGAATAATGAATGCTCAGCGAGTGGGTGCCGCCGCCGCTCTCCCCGTCCCCGAGCGAGCACCTTGTTATATGGGAGCTCAGACAGACTGGAACGTTTCTGGCAAAGCACAAGAGACACGACCTATAGAAGGCGGCCGGAGGATTCCGAGTCCCTCTTCAGCCTGCGAGATGTATATAGAGAGAAGAAACTAAATATAGGCCATGAAACGCCTTCCCGCGTACGGCTCATTACAGCCCATTGTGTCCCAAAACAACGTGACATTTAAAGCAAAGTGCTCAGACTAATCACATAGGAAACGGGGGCTAGAGTTTAAAGTGAAACCTCCGCAGAGATTCGTGGATTGTTATATACATTAGAATTCTGCGATCTCTGAAAAACGACTAATACTATTATACAGGTGACTGCTAGAATGAGAGTGTCCAAAGCCACTTTATTAACATTAAAAGGAGAACTATGAGGGGAGTGATTTCCACTCATCCTCATACAGTAGTTCGATGTAACGTGCGACAATGAAACTGTCACATGTCGGCTCAAAAGATCGGGGAGTGAATAAATACCGGCACTCGCTCACTTCTCGATCATCTCCCTGCATAGAGCCGTGACTGTCACTCACGGCTCCCTGCAGGGATTCGCCCCCCTCCAATCCTCCAGCGCTGACTGGCCGGACGGGGGAGGGGGCGGGTACATCTGGCTCTGCCTCTAGATAGGCAGAGCCAGCTGTCACTCACGCAACTGGGTGGATCCAGACATAATTGTCGGGATCCGTTCCGGCTGCGGCGTCTCAGTATACCGCGAGCTGTAGCTTGCGGTATACTGAGCTTTGGGCGACGGGAGGACGCTAGTTTGGGTTCTCCCGTGACCCTTAGGAGAACTATGGGGAAAAGCCCTAACCCCATAGTTCTCCTTTAACCAGTTGCCGTCCACCCGTTAAAAAAAGAAAACGGACGGACGGCACTGCTGCATTTCTAGGAGAACTATGGGGTTAAGGCTTTTCCCCATAGTTCTCCTTAGGGTAACGGGACGACACAAACTAGCGTCCTCCCGTCACCCTAGGCTCAGTATACCGCGACGCCGCAGCTGAAGCGGATCCCGACAATTGTGCCGGGATCCGCCCGCTGCGCGAGTGGCAGCTG